AGGAACTTAGAACAGTACTTGGCATGTAACAAGTACTCAGTAAATATTAGCCATTATTATATATACCATACCCAACTAAACTAGCAAGCCTTGGTAAAAATAGTAGAAGGAAACTATCAAAACTTAAGCAATGAAAAAACGTTCATTTACCTGAAAATGTAGATTTTATTTCGCAACTTCTTCATACAACCAGCCAAGTTCCAGTGGAACCAGTCAAGTTCCACTTAAAAAGGAAATCTTATTTTTGATTGACCCTCTGATAGTCAATTTTGTTTTAAACAATCAAAAGATAGCACAGAGAACTATTTTGTCAGTACCCTTATTTTAAAATTGAGGTGGATGATTTTCATCTGCTTACATAAACCATTTTATCACAGGTGGCCATTTAAGTTTTTATCACAGGTGGCCATTTCAGAAACAAGAGTTACAGCTAATCAAACACTTAGTCCTCATGCCTTGGTGATTTTAATGATATGATTTGTTGCTATGAGACAAAAACATGTTGTGCGAGAAATAATCTGTTCGAAATCATATGACCTTGCTTCAAAGGCTTTTGATTAACAGCACTAACATACACTTTCTGGAAAAGAAACAAACCCTATGATTAGAGCTTGGTAGTCCTTTTAAAGCAAATAAAACCTTATTAGCCGTTTATTAATAGATATGGGAAGCAAGAATGGCTCCAAGCATTAAAAACTTTCAAGGCCACTAGCAAATTTGCTCCTCTCTTACCTTTTCTTTCTTCTTCCTGCCTCCAAAGGAGACACTGAAAAATACCCCAGATGGATAGCAGATGAGAAATAGATTGCCCAGAAGACCCAAGACCTAGCAGGCAGATTATGCCATCCTACATGGCTTTGCTTGTGCGTATATATGAAGTTGACTTTGTAACTCTTCAGTCTTCATTCATAGATTAAACATCCCCCAGGTATTGGCACTGTGCTTTGAGATGTGGTGGCAAACAGACACAGTGCATGCTTTTACAAAGCTTAGAGTCAAGTAGGAAGTAGGCAAGGCAGGCAAGAAGTTGACAAGTAGGAGTCATGCTTACTTACACAAACATGAAAAGTGCTCGGAAGAAAGTACAGTGGTGAGATGGGATAAGTAACTGGTGAACAGATGATATCTGAGCTGAGCCCTGAATGTCAAGAAGTTGATCTGTAAAGCTACAGGACAAAACATTCTGAGCAGAGGGGATGGCAGACTCAGGCTCCCAGAGGTGGGGACTAGCTTGGCGTTCAAGATGAACAGACAGCCAGGGTAGCTGGGGCTTGCTGAACTTTTGAGAGTGTGGTAGGAGATAAAATCAAGAACAACAGGGACCCCATTCATGCAAGGTGGATTTTAAATGCAATAGGAAATCTCTGGAGGGCTCTATCTATTGCTAGCTTTGTAAAGGGTCTATCCATACAAGACTCATCTAAAAACATGGCTAGCCCTTGCCTAATGACCTGATGGCAATGGCACTTTTTGCCCTGTTCTAACTGGGGAAGGGCCCTTCGTGGTGGCTCAGTGGTAAAGAATCTGCCTGCCAATGCAGGAGACATGGGTTCAATCCCTGGGTCAGGAAGATCCCCTGGAGAAGAGAATGGCAGCAAACCACTGCAGTATTCTTGTCTGGGGAGTTCTGTGGACAGAGGAGCCTGGAGGGCTATAGTCCACGGGGTCTCAAAGAGTCAGATGAGACTTAGAGACTGAACAACAGCAACTGAGGAAAAGAGCAGCAGGAGAGACCAGTCCTATAGTCCCGAAACTCCAGCTGGTGATCTGGACCCCTTGGAACTTGTCTGACCTGGCCCAGGATGGCCATAAGAACAAAACCTTGTTTTATCTTGTTCTAGATCATAGGGGGTCTCTGGGGTTCTAAAAACATGGCTAGCCCTTGCCTAATGACCTGATGGCAATGGCACTTTTTGCCCTGTTCTAACTGGGGAAGGGCCCTTCGTGGTGGCTCAGTGGTAAAGAATCTGCCTGCCAATGCAGGAGACATGGGTTCAATCCCTGGGTCAGGAAGATCCCCTGGAGAAGAGAATGGCAGCAAACCACTGCAGTATTCTTGTCTGGGGAGTTCTGTGGACAGAGGAGCCTGGAGGGCTATAGTCCACGGGGTCTCAAAGAGTCAGATGAGACTTAGAGACTGAACAACAGCAACTGAGGAAAAGAGCAGCAGGAGAGACCAGTCCTATAGTCCCGAAACTCCAGCTGGTGAGCTGGACCCCTTGGAACTTGTCTGACCTGGCCCAGGATGGCCATAAGAACAAAACCTTGTTTTATCTTGTTCTAGATCATAGGGGGTCTCTGGGGTCCTGTCTCCCCATTTTTAGAGATGCCATCCAAGCCCTGGTCTTTGTCAGCCAGGGGTAGGCCCAGGCAGATCCTTTTAGCCCCTTCCCCTTCCTTAAGCCCCAGATATCATGACCAGGCCTAACCAACAGCAGGGCAAGGGTCACAGTCAGGGTCACAAGACAAGCCGTGTTCAGAGAGATGTGGTCAGTTTTGCCAGAGGAAGCATGACCTGGTGTCATGGGTCAAAGCAGACAATAGACCGAATCCAGGGAATCTGACCAAGCTTGAAAGACTGGCTGGGGCACGTTTGCAGGGTCACCCAGTCAAGTTTCCTGAGCGCACATAGTGGGGACCTGCTAGTGGCCACACTAATGAACATACACATTATCAGTCTTCTGTACTTGAGGCCATATTCCTCTAGACGGTTCTTGACTACTTAGCAAACCAAGAATAAAAATCTTAACCACATTCTCACCCTCCACATCCTGGTGCTGCCGACTTGCTTTTTCTGTTATTTCTTGCTCACTTGCAAGTTTTGTTTCACCCTACTTCCCTGCAAGTATTCTACCTACACAACAGGCAAATTGGTTACTACTTTTACAATCAGAAGAAGAATAAAGACCAGTAAAGAGCTTTTGAAGATCACGGTTCCTTCTTGCCCTAACTAGCTATGCCTGCTTGATCATCCAAGTTCTTACTTGGGCAGAGGTGGCAATGCTTGGATCCCCAGGACATGCTCTGGGGGCGATCCACATGGCTCTTTTTGTGGGGTTTTACGTGCCTCTCTCCAGTCCTTCTACAGGCTGAGCCCACCCCAACGTGCATCCCAGCCTTTCAGACTTCCCACACTCGAGCCCCGTTGGATCTGGACAGTTCCCTCAGAACCTTCCTCTCCCACCCTTCCTGGGTTCCTTGCATCCCTCCTCTGGCCCTCACTTCTCTTCTCTCACCGGGTCAGGCTGGTTGCCTTTAATCCTTTGGGACTCTGTAACTCCTGGGCCTGGCTGGGGCTAACTTTCTCCCAGGTAAGAAATTCATATAAGTTAATGTGAGGACTGGCTTTGCTCTAAGACCTGCCCTCTTCGAACCGCCTGGCCCCAAGTGCACATGGCCTTTAGCAAGAGAGGGCTGAGACGGTTGTGAGGTGTTGCCAACTGCGTGGCTACTTCCCAGGGATATGAGCCAAGTTTTCATTCATTTACTTCTTCCTAAGAGGGACTGAAAAAGCTGACTTGAAACTCAACATTCAAAAAACAAGGATCATGGCATCCATCCCCATAACTTTGTGGCAAATAGAAGGGGAAAAAGTGGAAGCAGTGACATATTTTTTTTCCCTTGGGCTCCAAAATCATTGCAGTTGGTCACTATAGTCATGAATTTAAAAGACACTGCTCCTTGGAAGGAAAGTTATGACAAACATAGACAGCACATTAAAAAGCAGAGACATCACTTTGCTAACCAAGGTCCATCTAGTCAAAGCTATGGTTTTTCCAGAAGTCCTATACCAATGTGAGAGTTGGACCACAAAGAAGGCTGACTGCCGAAAAATTGATGCTTTCAATCTGTGGTGCAGGAGGAGACTCTTGAGGGTCCCTTATATGCAGAGTACATCATGAGAAATGCTGGGCTGGGTGAAGCACAAGCTGGAATCAAGATTGCTGGGAAGAATATAAAAAACCTCAGATATGCAGATGACACCACCCTTATGGCAGAAAGTGAAGAAATAAAGAACCTCTTGATGAAAGTGAAAGAGGAGAGTGAAAAAGTTGGCTTAAAGCTCAACCTTCAGAAAGCTAAGATCATGGCATCCAGTCCCATCACTTCATGGGAAATAGGTGGGGAAACAGTGGCTGACTTTATTTTGGGGGGCTCCAAAATCACTGCAGATGGTGATTGCAGCCATGAAACTAAAAGACGCTTACTCCTTGGAAGGAAAGTTATGACCAACCTAGANAGATAACACCACCAACTCAATGGGCATGAATCTGAGCAAACTCTGGGAGATAGTAGAGGACAGAGAAGCCTGGCATGCTACAGTCCATGAGGTCACAAAGAGTCAGACACAACTTAACAACTGAACAGCAGCAAAGAGGAACTGGTGTGTGTGTGGGGGGGCTGGGCGGGGGGTGTCCAGGGAAGGAAATGAGCAAGTAGTGATTCTGTAGCTATCATAAGGATAATTTCTCCTAGCCTTGGGTTTTAAAATTTGGGGAATTATGGTAGGAATAGTGGTGATCTGGACCCCTTGAAATGTATGTGACCTGACCCAGGAAAGCTATAACAGCAAAACCTGGTGATATAGCTCATCCTAGACCAAAGGGTTCTCTGTGGTCCTACCTCCCCATTCTTAAAGATGCCCTCCAAATCCTGGTCTTTATCAGCTGTGGGGCTGGAATCAGCTCAGTTTGGATAATTTTAAGCATCTTATTTAAACAGGGGCCTATGTGGAGCTCTGTGTTTCCAATTTAAAACATTAAACTCATGATTTCACAGATGTTCTTGTTTAGGAAAACAATAAAGACAATGACTCAGCTTAATGAAAACTATCAAGTAAATAATAGTACAGAAATGTGGCAAACATCTCGGAGGTGGTAAATGATATATGGAACCCTCAGTTGGTATAAAAACAAAAATTTGCACTGAGCTTACCTCTCCTTTCATGCAAAGGAGCCACAGTCAGTCTTCCCTGTTTTCTTTGCTGTCTTCACCTACAGATGGCCATGACTACCCTCGAGCAGCCTACCAGCAAGTGATCCAGCCAGCTCTACCTGGGCAGGCCCCACCTGGAGCCCATGTGAGAGGCCTGCACCCCGTGCAGAAGGTCATCCTGAGTTTTCCCAGCCCCTGGGACCAAGAAGAGAGGGCTCCACAGAGAAACTACTCTCCCACAGGTCTCCCCAGGTATCAGTAAGTACAACTGATGGGGCCAAATTTCAGACAGTTTTAATATGAAAAAGAATGATGCCAGTGCAATCAATATGTATCAGAAACCTATTCCTTTGCCACACAGGCTGGTGACCAAGTCAAACAGTTGAACACCCCACATAGACTTTTCAGGTCAAGAGGAAACGGAAGCTGTGTGATAAGGATCTGTTCACCAGACACATGAAGCCATTGATGACTCGTCAAAATGCCCTTGAAGGAAAGGCTCTTAAGATGCTAAGTCACACCTGCTTTTACTTCCAGATCTCTTGGCCTTTTGGATCAAGAAATAGGTTTTCATTTTCACTATGACTGACTTCCAAGGCTACAGTTCTTTTTAATATCCCTAATCTCTACACCTGTTTAAGTCCATTTCTTACTTTGAAATTTTAAATTCAATTGGTTCTCAATAGAAATTTAAAACAACTTTTATTTTGTAATAAAAGCATTCACTCATGTTTAACACCATTATTAGGTCTTTCCAATACTTCTTCCAGTAAAATCATTTTGGCTTTTCTTGACTTTTATTGTCTAATCTTTTAATCACATTTCTTTTCATTGTTCTTTTTTGACTTTTCAAGTTTTTGTTTTTGTTTTGTTTTTTTCCTCTTCATTTATAGATCTAAAATATACAGGGAAACCTCATGTAAATGGAGCTTCCTAATTTATGACAAAATTGGAAAGAGAGTAGATTAAACATTTGCTCTTGCTCAAGCACAACTTTTATCTATCACTCAGAGTAAATCTATATTCCATTTTGAGAATGGAATGAGATATGAACTTCTTATTGAAGCAATTTTTTTTCAGAAATGGAGAAATAGGTAATCGGCTCAAAAGTGTATTGAAAAAAAAGCCTACTCTATTTACAATGGCAAATAAGGTGCCTTTCCTCTTCACTCAAAAGCCAACAACCCTCAGATTTCCTTTGCAGACAGATGCCTTATTTTTTTTTTTTACAAACAAAATTGCATGGAATTTAAGTAATGGAAATAAGTAATGATTTTATAGTCAGATCGGCACTCTTGTAGAAAGCAATCTAAAATTCCAAGAAAACAAAATTTAAGCATCTCTATGTGTAGTGTTGAATAGGAGAGGCAATAGTAATTTTTAAAATAAGCTTTTATTTTGAAATGATTTGGGACTTATTTATTGTAAATAGTACAGAGCAATTGCTTTTGTAACATCAATTAATGCCTGCTATGGTCTCGAGGATTTATCATTTTAAGATAATGAAAAGTAAGTTTAGGTAATGAGATTAATTCCCTTCTTACTGATCTTTGGAAGGGGAACCTTGATACAGAAAGATTACTCTGTCATTACTCTCCATGATATTGTTTTTATATTAAAGTTTTTTTTTTTTATAGTATCAAGGCCTTAAGATTTCTTTGTCAAATGAGCATGTATGCATGAAGTCGCTTCAGTCGTGTCTGACTCTTTGTGACCCTAGTGACTAAAGCCCTCCAGGCTTCTCTGTCCATGGGATTCTCCAGGAAAGAATACTGGAGTGGGTTACCATGCCCTTCTCCAAGCAAGAGCATGGTACCATGCTCTTCCCAACCTAGGAATCAACCCATGTCTCTTAGGTCTCCTGCTTTGGCAGGCGCGTTCTTTACCACTAGCGCCACCTGGGAATCTTTGTCAAATGAGCAATCATCTTTTGTAAACAACTAAGTAACTTTGGGTACAAAGGCACTTAATGCAAAAAGAATATGGAATTGGATCACCATTAGATGAAAGCATATTGTGTAGAAATTTTTTTCTATATTAATATAAAATAAAAATAACTTCCTCAAACACCACAATAAGAACTATATTAATAGCATAGTTGAGATTTTGTATAATTTTAAATCTTGTTACATAGGACTTTCAGATTTTTTGATTACTCTTTTGGGTAAAAATATGAAAGCATAAGCAATAACCCACTAAAACTAGGCATATACACATAGATATTACATTCAAAACTTTTTAAAAATTTATAATATAAAACAATTGCAAACACATAACAAGTAACTTTCCTGTTCCTGCTACCTAGATTTTTTTAAATGTTAACAATGCCACATTTACTTCATATTTTTTTTGAAGAAATAAAATATTATAGACACAGTTTTGGTCCCCCCTAGCACTTAGAATTCAGTTACAGAAAACAGAAACAACTCTAGCTGTTGTAAACAGAAGGGATTTAATATAAGGAATTGGGTGCTTATGACATTGGAGGTTGGAGGTTTTAGGTTGGGCTTCCAGGAATGGTCCCAGGGCAACATCACAGAACAGGGGACCAGAGGTGTTGCTTCCTCTGGCCTGGTCAGAGAGGCAGAGGGCCAGAAAGCCACCACAGGGCTCTCCATTCTAGGCCATGCTGCCAGCACCATCCAGAATCAGGACGCTGCCACTGCAGCTATTGGAAACATTCCCTGCCTACAAGGTCTGCGCTGGCAAAATACTGATGCCTGTGCCTTCCCTTGACTCTGTGAAGCTGTAATGGAACACTGGGAGGCCTCCTCAGCACCCTGTGACAGCACTTACCAACAGAAACCACACAAGTGGCAGAAGCATGGCCTGCATGTCCTTCTACTTTCCAAATCTCACACAATTGCATCTGACTTCTTCTCGGCAGACTGTTCATAGGAATATTGGTGACCAAAATAATAATAAAGACGCCATATGATAATATGGTAGAAATGTCTTTAGTAGGTCTTCAAAATTGGATTTTCATTTGTGAAATATTAGCAGCATAGATACTTTTTTTTTTTGGCTGTGCCATGCAGCATGCGGAAATTTGGCTCCTGGACTAGGGATCAAATCCGCACCCCCTAGAGTGGAAGCAAGGAGTCTTAATCACTGGGCCAGCAAAGAGACCCCACAACATAGATACTTTTAAACCTACATGGTCTTTTCTATCTTTTAATACATAAGTAAATGTTATCTGCTGTTTTTGTGTTAGTTGTGACTCTTTGCGACCCCATGGACTGTAGCCCACCAGGCTCCTCTGTCCATGGAATTCTCCAGGCAAGATTATTGGAGTGGGTAGCCATTCCCTTCTCCAGGGGATCTTCCGGACCCAGAGAGTGAACCCGTACCTCTTGCATTGCAAGCAAATTCTTTACCGACTGAGCCACCAGGGGAGCCCAAATGTTATCTATTACGAACTTAAAGTTCTGTCTTTTTATCTGAATGCCTAAACATCAAACCTTCTATGTCACCCATTATATTACTTCGTTTTGTTGGTGGTCTTGTCTGACCTGAACATAAGAATTATCTTCCCCATTATACAGTCCTTAAATTCAGAAATCAAATCCCGCTTCCCTCTTTGACCCCAAGCACAGGCCTTTACAAATGCCAGCTGGCTGAACTGCTTATTGACAAAAAACTCTGCAGAAAAAAAAAAAACAAACCTTTGTCCTTCTGGCTCAGGAAAGAAATGGAGGCAGAAGAAAGACAGCTCACTGGTATTACCCACAGTCATTAAAGGCTTTCTGTCCCTCTAGGTTTGCCTTTATGCAACATGAATATTTACTGTGAATGTATTCCTTTCCAGGGACCAGCTGTATAACCCGCCACCTAATAGAGGTGGAGCTCCTGAAGGGTCCTTGGAGTGTCCTGCCGAGTTGAGGCCACAGGATCCCCAGGCTCCATCACCAGCTGCTGTCCCTAGACCCCCGAGTCACCCTCCAGCCAGAGGAACTCTGAAAACAAGCAATTTGCCAGAAGAATTGCGTAAGTTGTTCGCAATGTTGTTTTTTCCTTCTTCTTGGTCACGTCTTACACTTTGAGAGTACTTGATGAGTCTTCATCTATAATCTTGGATATTTCTCACATACTACACAGTGAAATGAAATGTCCTTTTTTGCTTTTTGTTTAAAACTAACCAGGATTTTGTGTGAGTGTTTGTAGTGATTCTGATACTACCTGCAATACTCCCAAAGTGCTTACCACTAGATTTTCTACAACTGTACTCCAACAACAAATAACCCCCACGCTTTCTCCCTCTTCTAAATGATTCTCTTGAGTGGATTTGTCCCTGGATAAATTGATTGGATGTCCATGTGGTATTGGCCAGGGACCTAGTGTCTCACCATAAATTAGCAGCAGCCTTCAAGAACGAGGTCATTTCCTGTAGGAATGAGCAATCGTGTTTGGAAAAACCAGTCTCACATTCTCCATACTGCTGTACAACCAAATGCAAACTAAGCCTTTTATTTAAAGAAACATTCGACTAAGTGTCAGGTGATGATGCTTTTTCCACATTTTGCAGCCAGAACCAGAAATGTTGAAATATCACCAAAATGTTCTCATATGAAGGTCAGTCGGGACAGTAAGTTCCAGAAATCTTAAGAAAACAGTCACCACTTGTGAAATTGTTATATTCTGTTGTGCTTGCTGTAATTCTAATAAGCCCTTTCCAAATCTAGGCACTGCTTTGAACTAAACTTAAAATTAAGCCCTTTGCATTTGTTAATTCCAACTGGGGAATCAATATTCTTTAGTCATTTAAGGCTCTGAAAGATTTCTATGACAATTGTTTTTTATTAAAAAATTTTTGTTTTAATCTTGAAATCTTAGACATTTAAATTTTGAGCATTTCTGGAGAACGGATAATGTGGGGATATAGTCTGGATATCAGTGTATAGAGCATATTAATTTTACCATAACCTATAAAGGGAGTCCTAAAATTCTTACAGAGGAATTGGTTGAGAAGAAAATGTATTGAGTGCCATCAATATGCCTGGCTGCTTAAGTGAGTCAATATAACATCGAACATCCTCTCCTTTGAGAGATGTGCTTCAAAAACAAGAGCCTAGGTCCCCTGGAGGAGGGAATGGCTACTCACTCCAGTATTCTTACCTGGAGAATTCCATGGGTATAGGGGCCTGGTGTGCCACAGTCCATGGGGTCACAAAGAGTTGGACACGACTGAGCGACTAACACTTTCTTTTTTTTTTTTTTTTGTGGCTAACACTTTCAAGCGTAGTAAGTGGGTTCTCTCCAACCCTGCCCCCACTGTCTTCTCCACCCTCTGCCCCAGAGCTTCCTGAGATGTAGCCAGTTGATTTCAGACTAAATGCCAACAGAGAGAAATTATTCATCTATTACGTTAACACGCTAGCCAGATAATTTACCCAAGATGTTAGCCTGAGAGAACACTGATTCTCATCCTGACTGGATTAAGCTTGTGGGCGCAATGCCATCTGCTGCTCTAGACTGACTCACGGATGAGTAAGGGAGTCAGTGATGCTGGACTGCCCAGAGGCAGGGTCTCTGCTTCAAGCTACTGAAGTTCTTGACAATATTTCTGAGCTGCCCTTTAGTCTACTCCAACTTCCTGGACAGTCCCCAACCAATAAGTAGTGAGGGGAAGGAGGTGATGGAGAACCACTTTATCCCTCCCCTCACTTGCTCTCATCAAGTTCAGGGCAGCAGAGAGCATCACATCATGAGATCAAAAGAGGACACGGCTGGGTGGCCTCTTAGCAGGGCTCAACTTCCAGGGCGCAGTGCCAAGTGCGTCTCATATACCCGGGGTGGCCTGATCTTAAGGCCCCGCAGGTTCTGGATGATGGATTTTTTTTTTTGTTAAAGCATCATGTGGTTTTTCAAAAGACCTCCTCTGCTTGTCTCAGCCTGCCAGCACTCTCTCTGATGCACCCTGGGCAGTCTGCACATTCTGGGATGGACCCCCTGCCTCTTTGGGCCTGCAGATCTATGTCTTGAGGACAGTAATTCACCCTGCTGCAGCCATAAGCCCTTAGACTGCCCCTCATTCTGAGGAGTCCCTTCATTGTTCTAGAAGGCCGAAAGATACTGCATATGCTTTGCAAGTGTTGTTTAGAGTGGAATGATTTGACTAGTTTCTAATAATTGACAAAAATCTCTCTTTAGGGAAAGTCTTTATCACTTATTCTATGGATACAGCCATGGAGGTGGTGAAATTTGTGAACTTTTTGTTGGTAAACGGCTTCCAAACTGCGGTAAGTATTTTATCCAAAGAGAAGACTGAACAATTAAAGTGAGTATAAAGAAAAAAAAAAAAGAGAGAGAAACATGTAAAAAGTTGTTGATAGCTTAAACTCTATTATTTGATTTATGTGCTCATGACCTAAATGCTTATGGATTTAGGTAATTGTTTCCTAGAATTCAAACTATCCAAACTCTCCAGCATGTTTTTCCTGCATGCCTTTTGAGTGACCCCAAGTGCCTCTGAGGACTTCCCTAGGGGCTCAGACAGTAAAGAATCCGCCTGCAATGCAGGAGACCAGGGTTCAGTCCCTGGGTTGGGAAGATCCCCTGGAGGAGGGCATGGCAACCCACTCCAGTATTCTTGCCTGGAGAATCCCATGGACAGAGGAGCCTGGCGGGCTTCAGTCCATAGGGGTCACACGGAGTCAGACACGACTGAAGCAACTAAGCAACAGCAAGTGCCTCTGAACAGCTAGCACGGTATTAATGCCCCCCCTGTATGCAGCTGGTGCCCAGCCTAAAGGAAAGCCAGGCTCTCACTGCACTTGGCACCTTTGCCCTTCCTCACCAGTCATGCCCGTTTTGGTTGGGCTTCTTGTGGTGCAGGAGGCTCACCACGTCACCTGCTCATTTGCACTCTCATTTTGCACTGGGTTGCAGGGTTTGCAGTGGAGGCCCGGCAGCCTGGGGCCCCCCACCCCACTGTGCACAGCAGGCAGGCCACACTTGGCTGCTGCAATACCAGCGATTCTGAAGAGGGAGCCAGGTTCTGCAACCCGGGGCCGGGTTCTCAGTTGGTCTAGGCTAGCTCAGGAAGGTGGACACCCCAGCCCTGCAGTCCGCTGTGATCTGAGGCCAAGAAATTTCAGGAAGCACACACTCTTCAAGTGCCCTGCAGTGCCTTGGAACAGCACAGCTTACACCCATGTAAGTCTTCCTTAGGATAAATAGAATACCACAGGAGGCTACTCGGAGGACTGGCTTTCCTCAAACACGATATCACTTCTCTTCCTTCCTCGAGGCCTCCTCTGGGTATTTAGTGACAGTGGATTTTAAAGAGTAGTGAAAAATTGAGGGAAATATCTACGAATACAAATGTTGAAGAATAAAGAAAGAATACTTAGTAACTAAATGTCCATTTTAAGGATTATTTAGCATTTTTAACAGGAGTTTTATTCAAATATTTCTTTAGTCTGTAATTACTTTCAAATGGAAGTATATGAAAATTTTTACAGATATATACTCTACACCTCAACTTCATTATTATATAGATATATGAATATATAGAGATCAATATTTCAATTTCTCATTTCTAGGATAAGAAACACTGGGGCAACTCATATAAAATCAAATTACAGGACATAAGGCCAACATTGTAGAAAAGATCTTACTTTTAGTCCTCTCCACATAAGCATACTGATTGCCCCCGGAGAAGAGGACAGGTTTTTGTGACCTTAACAATTAGGGGCTGCTTAGGCCCAATTTAAATTTGTCCCTAAACTCTAATCCTCATCATTATGAAATGAAAAGTGAAAGGATGAGTTGTTCAGTCATGTCGGACTCTTTGTGATCCTGTAGACTACAACCCACCAGGCTCCACTGGGAATGGAATTGTTCAGGCAAGAATACTGGAGTGGGTTGCCATTTCCTTCTCCGGGGGATCTTCCCAACCCAGGGATCGAACCCAGGTCTCCTGCAATGCAGGCAGATTCTTTACCATCTGAGGCACCAGGTAAGTCCTTAAAGCCCATGGTAAAATCCCAGAGCCTCATCCTGGATAGCTAAGTTATTGTATCGATACATCAAGATCCCCTTAATGGATAAGAATTAATTAAATGGGTAATTTAATAAATGGATCATTTTCAAAGTTCTAGGTGAGTCTTAGGAAACCCATAGAGAATGAGTAGTGCACTATCCCAGGACAAGCAAAAGCCAGGAGGGTCTACCACCCTGAGGCCTAAAAAGGCAAGGGAACAGTGACTCCTACAACCTAAAGGGGGCGCTATATTGGTTTGCCGGGTCTGCCACAGAGTACCACAGGCTAGGGAGCTTAAACTGTCCTTTATTTCCTCAGTTGTGAAGGCTCATAGTGTAAGATCAAGGTTTCAGCAGGGCTGGTTTCATTCTGAAATGTCTTCCTTGTCTTGTAGAGGACCATCTTCTCCCTCTGTCTTCCCCTGGTCTTTCCTCTGGTCTTTCTTTATAGTCTCCTCTTATAAGGACACCAGTCATACTGCATCAGGACCCACCTACGAGACCTCTTTTACTTTAATCACCTTTTAAAAGCCCTATATCCAAATACAGTCATAGTCTGGGACACAGGAGGTTAAGACATATATTGAAACAAGAATTTGGAGGGACACAATTCAGCTCATAACAGTAGCTGGATGGACAAGTTAGCCTGACAGAAGCTGTGTATTTTAGTAGATGTCTGGAGAGACCAGTGGAAGATCTTCAGCCCATTGTTCCTTCCAGAATGTCTACCTCCATAGCAAGGAAGAATTTAGGTGCTGGGATAATAATAAGAATGACCATTTATTGAGGACTTACTTTATGCCTGGCATTATGATATGCCTTTTCCACTCATTATAATCCTCACAAGCACCCTAAGAAGTAGGTTTATTGACCACATACTACAGATGAAAATAGTAGGACTTAGAGAACTTCGGGAACATTTTCCAAGTCTTCCAAGTGGAAAGAGGAAAGCCACGCTGCCCGTCTTGTCAGCCCTGGCATACATTGCTTCTCTCTCATAAAACAGAAATGGATAACTGATGCAATCTGAGAGAACTGCAAAGCCCCTCTCAAGGTTACCTAATGTAGTCATTGGCCATTGAACCTTTTAAAGCAGGGATCATCCAAACCAAAAGGAAAGTCATTCCATTTTTTATGTTTCATCAGTTTAAAAATACATATTCTGAATTCATATTCTATACTGTATGTATCTGAGTTTGGTGTAGAGCAGGATCTTGTTCCATAAGAAGCTTAGAACCCTGCTCAAGAGATAAGCCAGACATCCATGAGACATTCAGTAAATGAAAGAATGCCATAATAATGTGTTCCTTGTCCAGTACCACCAGTAGTCACAGTGGGGTAGAGTCCATTAAGGGGAGGAGAAGGAAGTCAGTCTATGGGGAGGATTCACGGAGCAGGGGGGCTTGCACTGTGCTCTTACAGTGCAGGGAGTGCAAATGTGGAGAGTCGAGTAGACAGGACATGTGTGGGGAAAAGAGGTGACGCTGGATCGTGGACGGCATGGAAAGCTTGCCGAATGGCTGGAACTTGACTGGCCCTAAACAGCAACATGACACTGAGGACAATTGACATGGGAGCCGTGTGGCTGAAACCAATCACCCCTCTTCAAGGACTCTCCCCCTGCATCACCCATCCCTGGACATAATCCATCTGCCAATCAAGAGCACCTTCTGCAGACACACACTCCTCTCTGGCTGCAGGACAAGCCTGAGCCCAAGAAAGGTCTTGTTTGGGCTTCTGTAAAATGGAAAATAACTGGTTTTTCTCCCCTTCAGAGACTTGATATTTAATGCCAGTCTTTTCAAGGCCCAAGAGTTCTACTTTTCAACTTTCGTCATAAACCTTTCCCCCACTATCTCAGTAATTGTTTTTGTGACTGTTTCTTGGATTTGCTTCAAGTTTCACAGAATCCTTTTTAAATATATAGGCCGAAACTGGATATGATACCATAATAATGACCTGGCTAATGCAAGCAAAGTACCATATTGTATCTCAGTACTTGCATACAACACATCCATTAAAATCCTCCAGAATCAAGTTTGCCTTCAAATTACAGATATATATATATATATACATATATATATGCATATGTTTTGTGTATATATATATTATGCATATGTTGCTGGCTTACATCCAACTTGGTGGTCTACTATGTCTCTCAAATTTTTAAAACATAATTACAAATATTAAATACTCAAATGCCTACTAATCTTGAAGTAGGAAACATTTTAAGAAAATTACATCTTGAGTTTTAGACTTTCAGGCTCTTCTTTGCCAAAAAGCATCAGTGACTTTTTCAGCCTTAAATGTATACAGCCTCTTGTGCTTTCTCTTGCTTTGCATCTAGACAGAGCTTCTCATTAAGAGCCACTTTCCACATCTTTTTTTCCTGTAGATTGACATATTTGAAGATAGAATCCGAGGCATTGATATCATTAAGTGGATGGAACGCTACCTTAGGGATGTAAGTACATTCCAAAAGTCTGAGCTTGTTTGCTGGTGAGAAAGACAATTAGCTCGTGGAGTTATTTTATGAAAGAAGCACTGGCATACCCACCAAGGCCAAAGCTGACCAAGTCCCAACAAAGCTTCCCTTGTTAGCCGTGCAAAGACTTGGAAAGGAAGGATGGGGTCACCCTCCTGGACATGCACAGGCAGGAAATAACTGTCGAACCCGACACAGGTGGTTGATAATAATCAGAGCAAACAATTTTTTGACCAGAATAGGAAAGGAGGAAATGAAGGCGGGGAGTAGGGAGGGAGCAGCAGAATTCAATTTAATCTGAGGCCACCACCAAGTGTTTTGCAGGATCAGACTGAAGAGGTTTCCTGGGCAGCCTCACAGGCAGGGCAGCACATCGCCCACGCCCCCACCCCAGACGCCCCCTCACAGCCTTGTGATTTGTTTTTCACTGACAGAATCTATACCGGCCACTGGGACACGTTGTGCTTTAACAAGATAGAAATTGATTGCCGCCAGCCTGTCCGCGTCAGCCGGTGAGGGACGGAGGCTGAGCTGGCTGGGGTTTTGAGGCTTTTCCTTTTGTCTGCAGCCTGATGTTCGCTTTGTGCTGAAGGGTCTGCCCGACTGGGCTAAGCGTCCGCGGCAAGCAGGGCAGTCAAGGGTGCAGTAACTGACAGCTCAGCTCCCGCTGCCGGAGGGAGGCCGAGGCTCTCTGCCACAATGCAGAGTTACTTAGTCATTCCGGTTTTCATTAGACCTTTATTAGTGATGGTTATAGAAGATGGTGGGCAGAACCGCGTCCATTTAGGAGAGCCATTGGCTCTTGTGTTTGAAGGGAGCTGGGCAGGGAGACAAGGCGGGGGCGGGGGGAAGGGGGTGGGGAGCCAGGAGTCTGCCTGTGTTGGGGCCTCGCCTTTCACTTTCTGTGGATGGGGGCCGGCCCTCCACCCTGCAGTGTATCAGAAGATGCTCACAGTCTTGCTGGCCGGTTTCCAGCCTGCCTTCCCCAAATGGACCACACGCCACACTTCCATAAACATGCTTTCTCCCTCTCATTAACAGAAGACAGTGATGATAATCGTAGCAATCAGCCCCAAATACAAACAGGATGTGGAAGGCGCTGAGTCGCAGCTGGACGAGGATGAACATGGCTTACATACTAAGTACATTCATCGAATGGTGAGTGATGAAACCACAGCACCTTGCCAGCCCTAGGAGTCGGGCTTCTGCTTCTGTGAAAGCCTGTCCTTCACTGGATACCCACTGAGGGTGGGGGCTGATGGTTGAAGAATGAGGCAGGTGAGGCGGGTGATGGTTCTGTTCCATCTACCTTGGGGACTTGGGGCAAGTCCCCACACCTCTGGGACTCCGTGTTCCTTCTCAGTAACAGGGAGATTCATCTGTGATCTTGAAGTTTCAAGATTCGGGAAAGCAGAACTCTGCTGGTTTAATTATTTACCCATAGATGTGAAGTCCTGGGAGGGCAGGAGACAGGGCTGTGAAGAGAGCAGGCTCCCTGCATCTGTGTCCAGTTCTGTCCTTTCCCTTTTCAGAGAGCCAGAGTAGCACATCCGAGAGGACACGCAGTGTAGTGTCAGATAGCCCGTGTTCAAATCTGGCTTCTCCCGTATAGGGTGTGTGACCATGGAAAGTGACAGTGTGAGTTGCTCCGTTGTGCCTCTTTACGACCCAATGGACTGTAGCCTGCCAGGCTCCTCTGTCCATGGAATTCTCCAGACAAGAATACTGGAGTGGGTTGCCATTTTCTTCTCCAGGGGATCGTCCTGACCCAGGGATCAAACCCAGGTCTCCTGCACTTCAGAAAGATCGTTTACCATTAACCTCTTTGTGCTTCCATGTCAATATTCAAAAAATGGATCACTAACAGTGTTGTTGTGAAGATTAGGTGAAATAAAGTCTATAGAGCATAAGGCCTAGATCAGATGTTCAGTCAAGGGAAGGGATGGTTCTAGTTCATGACAATAGGCAACACCTGAACTCTGGGGGCCTGGTCAAACTAAAACCAGCAGAGGAAACTTACAGTAAGTTAGACTTAGCATCTGACAGAACATTCTGGCTGAAAATATCACCCAGCTTTGAAACAGACTGGGTTACGGGCAAGCAGCCTCCCTGCTTTCTGTGATCATACCGACCCCTGAGGAGACGGTGCCTGCTTGACTGGGATGCCAGACTAGGCTTGTGACGGTCACACTCTCCCTTGAAGCCGTCCTGGTGCCCATACCTGCTGGGCACCTCCCCCAGAGCTGTCTGCCTTTCTCGGGCTTGTTTACCAAGGATCCTGAGACTTAAAAAGGTTTGAAACTCACTGGACTAGAACTTGTAAGCTCCGTTTCAGCTTGAACATTCCACAAGGCGGGGAAGGCCCCTGGAATGAGCATAAAAGGTCCCTGATTAAGACAGGAAGATGGGGCAGGAAGCAGAAGTGGCTCAGATGGAATAAGTAAGCAGCACAGGGCAGCAGGGGGTCGGGGGGCGAGGACATGCAGCTTTACCTCAAGGGAAGTGGACTGAAATCCTGCAGCTCCGGAGGAGCACAGGAAAAAGGCAGGCTGGATGTGTGGATATCCCCATCTGGTTCTTCAGAGTCTCTGGTTCTTCTTCTACCAAGTGCTGGCCCCTTGAGCTCACAATCAACCCAAAGTAAAAGCTGAGGCAAGGTGAGGAGGTCAGAGAGTGGGGCCAAGGAATAAGATGAGTATCCCTCTTATTTCATTCTTACTCAGCCTGGCAGCCCCCAGGTGGAGCCCAGCAAGGGGTACTGTTTCTGCCCTAAAAGGTCACAGCTGGCTCTAGGTGCTGTCCCCGTTCACTGTCTGCCAAAGCACTTCAGGGCCCCAAAGCGCTCCATCTCTAGGAACTGCCAGTCCCCAGGCCATCAGCTCTGTGTGTTGAGGGCCCCAGGTCGCTGCCAGTTCCCCAGGAAACCTGTCAAGCTCTGCTGGTGTGTGGTGTCACCTGGCAGTAATAGGCAGCTGAACCTCGGAGCTTGTCTGACAGTGCCCGGCTGTGAACCAGGCTGTCTCCAAACTCCGTTTCTTGGGACGACAGTGTCTCAGGCCCTTCCTCATCAATGGAGAAGTCGGAGAGGCCAGATAGAAAAGTGCCTTTCTGCCCAGCTGGCTGACTTCCTGGTCCCTTCCAAGCAGCAGAAAACTCCAGGGCAGAGGGATCAAACCGAAACCCAGGAATAACTGCATCCTAGAGCCAACAGCTTCCCAGAAGGTCCATCTCTGGAAACATGAGAGAGAATGAGAAAGCACTGTCGCTGGGGTAGCCTAGTAGACAAGCAAAATTTTACAGGATGCAGTGTCCTGGGAACCAGAGACTGAGTCCAGTTCTTCACGTTTATCTTACAAGCTCTATGCCCTTCCTCTCGCCTGTTTCTACTCGTGTGGTCGATGATTTTAGGTACACTGCTCTAGCGCCCTTGTAAAATAGGCTTTTGGTGCTATCTTCTGATTTTTTTTTTTTTAATCTTCTGATTTTTAACAGGAGGTGACTCTGAGAAAACACCTCATGGAAGATTTGTGTGTGGTGTGTGTGTGTTTATGAGGCGGTTACTATGGCGATTTCAGTCATTACCACTGTCACTTTCCTCTCTGTTTTGTTTTTATTCCCATGCATGGTGAAGATTTCTCAGTTATAAAATTCAGATGGACGATGAGATAGTTGGGAACACATAATTCCTCATCTCCTTCGTCATCAGATGACTGAAAGCTTTGTGCTGGTCACAGGATTTGGAAGACTCTAACTCGTCTCATGCTGAAATTTCTGGTTTTGGTCGAGTTTTTGGCAGCTAAATCTTTTTGGGGGCCGCTGCTGTGTCAGAGTAAATTGGAGGTGGTGTGGGGAACCTAAAGCTTGGCAGATGGAGCTCATCTTATTGACCTCTAGCTTCGCTTCCCTCACCCTCCCTGGCCCCCCTGTGTTTCTAACCAGTCCCAGCCCCCAAACATTCCTTCACACCTCCAGACATTTGCTCATATGCTGTTTCCTTTACTGAGGCTGTCCTTCCCCCACCTCGCTCCATTTTCCCTACCTGAGCAAATTCTTCTTTTCTTTTAGTATCCAAATGACACCCCCCTTGTAACTCCTTCAAACCACTGATGTAGAAAAGGGTGGCCCCCATTGGGCTACCACAGCAATTTGTCCATACTTTTCACACTGCACTGTGGTCGGTAGTTTTCCTTTCTGCCTGCTCAGTAAGCTGCTGGCTTTATAGCTGTGGTACCTGGTAAACTGGTCCTCAAAAAAAAAGGGGGGGGGGGGGAATCCTGATTTGTAGCATTTGTCTATTTCCATGGTACAAATATGCTCACAGGGCCGACTTCAAACAAGCACTGTGAAGTCACTGAACACAGACTTGGGAAGAGATACACACGAGAGTGGCTTCTGTGAACTGCTGTGCGGCAGCTCAGCATACCCTGGAAAGTATCCTAGTCCTTGAAACCCCAAGTCTAACACAGAGCTTGACTCTTAACAGGCTTTCAGTACATGATTGATGAATGAGCAAAAGGCGTGGATGTGCGATGGACAGTTTAAAATCAGGAGTGTGTGGCTCTGACAGAAATCAGAACAAAAATCCTGTGTGGACTTGCATGATTGTGAGAACCATTAATTTCTCATCCTCAGTCCTGAAATTAAACCTTCAAGTGTGTTCTGTTCCAGATGCAGATTGAGTTCATAAAACAAGGAAGCATGAACTTCAGATTCATCCCTGTACTCTTCCCAAATGCTAAGAAGGTAAATAAACAAACAAACGAATCTTTAAGTGCAGTTTTGGTTTAAAATCTCTAGGATTTTAAGTGGAAAACCTTGTCAGCTGTTTATCAGTCCTGCGAGATAGCAGTGTTGCCAGAAAGATCAACAAGTTGTACCACTCAGCGCAGAAGCCTGAATCAGGAAGATTTTTAAGCTTTATCTGATAGACCATCGCTGTCCTAATTGTTCAAACAGCCATCACACACAAAGAAGTAGTTTGTGTTTTTAGCCCATGAGATGAAAAGAAGCTGTTCATCTGATACTTCTTATCTCTTGTACATAAAAGTCAAGATGTGAGCATTTTTGGCTGGCCGTTGCACGGAAATGTTTTGTTGAACATAGCTCAGTGCTCAAAGCTGTAGAATACAGGAATTAAACCTACACAGTTACCAAAGAGAACTCTGCTGTGGCTCATAGGAGGGATTGTGTTCGCTAGAAGGGCAGGCTGGCAGATTTGGAGAACAGGGACAAAAAAACATCTGAGAGCCTGTGCTAGGCTTGGAGAAGTGATGGCAGCTGTGTAGTGAAGGTCTTGGGAGCTGGATCCCAGCACCCTGAGCTCAGGCCCAGCCCCACCCTGGAGCAGCCCTGGATGTCAGGACTGCGTTGAGACTTTTGCCCTGGATGAAGGAGGGTCTAGTTTATGGGACCAGGACCCCTGGGCTTGCCCAGCTCACAGCCTGCCCAGCAGTGTGCTTTCTGTCCCTCACCCAGCCTCTGACAGCTCTCGTTGCACGATCTCCTTTCTGGTTGTGCTGTGTCCACTTTGATTCTGTACCAGCCATCCTCTGCTCTGCCATCCAAGAGGAACATCTGAAATGTAGATCTCATCTATCTGTCTCCAGTTTAGACGTTTTGTGGTGGGTTTCCTACTGACTACAGACCGCATTCGTCTTCCTTGTATGACATACGAGGCCCTTGAGAAGCGGGCTCTGCCTGCCTGCTCAGCTTTCTGCCTTGCCACTGTGCACGCAAATGCCACTGTGCGCTGGTCACTGTGGACCATTTCACGTGTCCTGCCACATGCCCCACTCTTGGTGTCTTTGCACTTGTGTCCTCGCTGCTTGCAGCACCCTGCCCTGACTTCTCTGTCTGGTGAGCGCTCACTTAGCCCTCTAGCACCCAATCTCTTAGCCTTTCCTGACCACTCCCCCCCATGCCCCAAATATTGAATAGTCCCTCTCTTGAGAGTACCTGGAGTCAACAACAGTACGTGGCTGCGGGTAGGAGAGTTGGGAGTAATTGTTTAGAATTACTGGAGCATGGTGACAGAAAAAAGCAGACTCACTTTTAGTTGGTTTTGTTAATGTTTTTTAAACTTCTTCAAACAATCCCCTTATTACCCACACTCAGGGCAGACTGCTCCCGCCTACCTGTCCCCTTGACATGCTACTGCCTGGAGAATAGTTACATTTTGACTCCATCATAAGACTACCAACTCCTCAAGGCAGTAACTGTGTCTTTTTTAAAAAAATATTTGTTTCTTTGGCTGCACTGGGTCTTAGTTTTGGGCTCAGTAGTTGCCCCACAGCATGTGAGATCTTAGTTCTCCGACTGGGGGTCAAAGTTGGCTCCACAAAGCTTCCTCACTCTACTTTTTTACATCTTTACTTATTTTCTCAGTGAGACCTTTCCCTGTGTGTGTTCAATCTCTCAGTTGCGTCCAACTCTTTGCGACCCTTGGACCCCAGGGGAGCCTGGCGGGCCACAGTCCATGGGTCTCAAAGAAATATACATGATTGAGCGACTGAACACATATGAGGGAGGGTCTCACTGAGAAAAGATGTAAAAAAGTAGAGTGGGGAAGCTTTGTGGAGATCTTCCCCTAACACCCGACTTAAAACCACAAATGTTTCATCCCTGCCCAGCACTCCTTACCCCTTTTCTCTGATTTTTCTCCATGGCCCGCATTGCCATTGAACACACTAAACCTCTGCATCATCTGTCTGCCCCCAACAGACTGTCCACTCCCTGCGGGCAGTCTGAAACTCTGCCCTCTCGATCCCTGGCTGACAGGTTCGGCTTTTGCCGGATCGCTGGGATCTGGGGTGGGGGAACCTCCTTCTTCTGCGGGTCAGACCTGGGGCCGGAGTGAAAGGATAATGAGTTGGATGAACGCCCACAGCCTTGGCACACTTCTGCCGGAGCCACTGGGGAATTCACGTGGCTCTGTGTGACCTCTGTCCCACCCCTTTTAGGGGAGGGTGGTGAAAAGCATGCTGAAAGGCGAAGGGCAGGTAGCCTGGGAGACTGATGGGACATGCCGTGCACATGTGCTTTTTGTAATGAGCTACACAGCTGGCATCCTGAGCCAAGAGCATTTCACACGCAAACCCCTTCCGAAAGCAAAACAGCACGGCCCCCAGGAGAGTTTAGCAGGCGATGCCTGCGAAGGGAAAACCACGGATGTTGGGGAACTGAGCCCAGGATCTGGAATCCAGGTGTTTGTCTAATGGCTTTTGCTTCTGTCATTCTCTCCCTGCCCTAGGAGCACGTGCCCACCTGGCTTCAGAACACGCACATCTACAGCTGGCCCAAGAATAAAAAGAACATCCTTCTGCGGCTGCTCAGAGAGGAGGAGTACGTGGCTCCCCCCCGAGGGCCTCTGCCCACCCTTCAGGTGGTCCCCTTGTGACCCTGCACCCCCACCCCCAGATTACAGCTCTTGTGGCTGAGGCCGGCTGGCAGCATTCAGGGCTGTTGTTTTCCATCCCTCCTCGAGGGGCCTTCCAACCCCAGGAAACCCGTTCTGCAGGGGCCGCTTCCTCCTGAGACCTTGAAGGACCTTGTCTTTGAGATGGAGGCCATGACTGTTCTGCATTCCCTGCTTCTTAAACCCACTGCCCTGCACGTTCCCCCAACACTCTGAGTATCCAGAATGGCCCTCAGCGCCTAGCACGTAGATAATACAAGTGACGTTACTGTAAACACCAGCGACCACAAACACTCTCTGCTTGGGCAACATTTCTGAGTTTGCCAGATGCTGTGTGTCCTCAGACCAAACTGATTCATGTACAAATAATAAAAGGTTTACTCTTTTGTAAAACTGTGTTTCACTTATCTCAGAGGAGATAGATACATATTAATTTTTATGGGCCTTTGCTTTCGGGGACATCGATAAATCTACTTCAGTATAACATTAGACTGATGTAAGAGACTGCTTTGTATTAAAAGATTAAGGCCAGATAGTTAAGCATCCCCTTTTAACTTCATCTTGAAAGTTTTATTCTTTCAGTAGAACTTCATAACAATACGACTTTGTAGCACATACTACCATGATCCTAAGTAAAGTCATAGCTCTTAGGGCCCGGGCTACATATATCATAATGTCTGTGGATTGTATGATGAGACGGGGGATGTACAGTGCAGGCTAGAATTGTGGTTTGGGAGACCTGAGCTATAGTCTTGGGTCTGCCACTAACTAGCTATGTTTCATGCCACATGGCCTGAGGGATGGTTCCCTGTCCAGGGATCAAACCTGTGCCCTCACAGTGAAAGTGCCAAATCCTAACCACTAGGCCACCAGGGATCTCCCCTGACACTAACTAGCCGTGTGACCTTAAGCCAAGTCCTTTGGCTTTTCTGAAAAAACCAGAGATTCACTTCTATAATTATGTGGACAAAAATATTCCTAATGATCCTAAAAGGTTTAAGGCCTAGAACCTAAGTTATAAATACTCTTGAGGAGTGACTTGAGTTTTCATTTTCATAATAATCTCCTAGGGGACTGAAATTACATTTTCTCAACAGGGATATTTTCTTCTTCTTTTTAAAATACTTTCAACAGTATCTTCACATGAATAATATCTTGCTCATCTGGTCTCCATGGAAAGCATACACAAAAACACCCATATATGAAATATACATATATACACACATATATGTATATGTATGAATATATATAGTATATATATTCTACTACATAGAACAAGGTGAAATTAATTATGGTCCAAGAAAATAAGCCAATATGAAGACTTCTGGCAGGGCTGAGAGCCACTGCTTCCTCTTCTCTGTCTAACCTCTTAATCGTGTCCAACTCTTTGCAACCCATGGACTGCAGTATACCAGGCTTCCCTGTCCTTCACCATCTTCTGGAGTTTGCTCAAACTCATGTCTGTTGAGTCAATGATGCCATCCAACCATCTCATCCTCTGTCACCCCCTTCTCTTCTTGCCTTCAATCTTTCCCAGCGTCAGTGTCTTTGCCAATGAGTCAGCTCTTCGCATCAGTGGCCAAAGTATTGGAGTTTCAGCTTCAGCATCAGTCCTTCCAATGAATATTCAGGGTTGATTTCCTTTAGGATTGACAAGTTTGATCTCCTTGCACTCCTAACCTCTTAAACAAAGCTAAATTGTATTATAACATAGTCCAACCCTTATATGTCATCATGAAAGTGAAAGTTGCTCAGTTGTGTCCGACTCTTTGCAACTCCATGGACTATATACAGTCCATGGTATTCTCTACTCCAGAATACTAGAGTGGGTAGCCTTTCCTTTCTCCAGGGAATCTTCTCAACCCAGGAATCGAACCCAAATCTCCCGTATTACAGGCGGATTCTTTACCAGCTGAGCCACAGGGGAAGCCCAAGAACACTGGAGTGGGCAGCCTATCCCTTCTCCAGCAGATCTTCCTGACCCAGGAATAAAGCCAGGGTCTCTTGCATTGTAGGCAGATTCTTTACAACTGAGCTATTAGTGAAGCCCATATGTCACCATAGGCAAGAAAAATACTTATCAATTAGAAATAAGGAATTTTGCTGATGAATTGCAAAGAATACTAGTTTTCTTTACATTATAACCTAGATATCTACTGTGTACAGTGAATGTCTTTGCTTTTAAAACTAGGAAAAGAAAAGCTCATATACTGGAAGTCCTCATTCCTAAGACTCTATGATGAGTACCTTTAAGCATCATAGCATTTGAGACCTGATAAAGCTTATGTGCTTGTTTAGTTAACTCAAATTGCCTGGAAAACACCCCACACACAAATATTAAATCTTCTTTCTCTCCTTTTATTATCTTTTTTTTGGAGGTGACAGCATCATCAAGGATTCTATACACAGTTGTAAAAAAAAAAAAGGCATCAGCAAGGATTACTCTGAAATGTTTCTAGTTAGCGGAGGTTTAATAATGTGATGTTATTACCTTTCCCTCTCTTTGGAGACCTGTCCTGAGCCCTCAGCCACTATTCCTCCCCCTAGGTGAATAATGAGGGAAGGTCCCTCGTGTTCCACGAATAGTCATTAAAGTGTTACAGCTGGTAGCACTGGTAATGAAACACACACACACAACACCTAGCCAAGTGATGGATTTGACCCCTGGAGTTTCTATGAAATCTGATGACCACGAACATCAGAGGAATTACGGCAACTATTTTAGAGCACCGACACAGAGATTAACACTTGGGTTTATTTAGACACTACCCTGGTCCTCTTTGCATTCATCTGCAGATATTTGTGGGGTGGAAGTGGGGTAGGTCTGACTCAATAAAAAAAACCTCTTAGCCTCAAGGCTTTGTTCAGACCTAACCTGAATATTTAAAATGTAATGTTTAGGGAGTTCCCTGGCGATCCAGTGGTTAGGACTCGGCTCTTTCATTGCCGTGAACCCAGGTCCAATCCCTGGTTGGGGAACTAAGATCCCACAAGCTGCACGGTGGCCAAAAAAACAACAAATTTTTAAATATTTTAAATGTAATTTTTAATTGCAGTGACTAGTTCCAAAGCATCTATTTAACTTCTGTATTATTCAAAGATATCTCAGTTCATGGCTATAGTCAAAGTATTAGACCACAGTCAAAGTCTTTCTCAGCTCAGTGCTCAGAAAAATTGTTGATACCCTTTTTCTTTGCTTCCTATTAAATAAATCACCTATTTAAAGACTGGGTTTTTCTCAGAGTCATGTCAGCAAGAGAGGCAAACTCTCCATTTTGAACATTCCAGAACTTGGTTTATGATGTTTTGCCAATAGCATTCTTCTTAACCTCAGTCACTTCATCAACCACCTCATCCACTTTGCCAAATGCCCCATTGTCACCATCATGTTTGCCAAATGAATTGCAAAACCCTGTGATCACTGGGAAATAATCCAGAAAGTCTCTCAAAACACAGGATCTTTCTGTTTGTTCTTAATTAACCAAGAAGAATCAGTCAGACCCACCTCCTAGTGGCAAACGAAAGAGAAGGAAGGTGAGACTGTGGGAAAATGTCCCAAGAAGAACAAATGCCACTTCTCTTGAAGAATCATGCAGTATTTTTCAAGATAAATAGTTCTGTCCAGGCCCACTAACCAGTCAACAACCACCCAAACCAAAAAGGATGAATGAAATCACCAATAGAAACTTAATTCTGGTATCATTTATTTCTGCCCTGGAGTCTCCGGTCTGGAAAGGACCTAAAACCCACGCACCTCTGCAGTTTTGTTTCATGCTTGAGAAAAATGGGGTACAGAGAAACCGCAGCTCTGCCAAAGCCTCATCCTCGGGCTAGAAGCCAGAAACCCTGACTGCCCATCTGCAGGCATTTATTCTGTGAACCTAGAACTTTTCTAGGGTTTGAAGGTAGATTTATTCAGCAAATGACCCAGTATCTCCTGGAGGTAAACTGAGCCTCATGAACACAGGAGGCCTAAGGGAAGCTGCGCCTCAGTGGCTGAAGGATTGAATGATCACGTTGCAACTTGTTCTGTGGGAAATTCTTTGGGGGATTAATTATGGTTGTGATTACATGGAGTGTGACTTTTCTTAAAGTCGTCTGGCATATTTATTTTACCCTGCTGGTCCAGGAAACTGAGGCACGGTTGAAAAGACCTTGACACCTTCCAGAAGCCTACAGAAAAAACCTGCTAGGAGATTGGTTTCTTTTTGATGTATCTGTCAATTTCCAAAACAAAAACAAAGCAAGGGTTTTTATTTTTTAACACTGTGATAGTCATCTTGCTCTCCTTTTTTTTTCCCCCTCTACCCTCTTCTGATTCTATAATAGTGACCCTGGTTGGAGTGATAGATAGCTGTTTGGAACACCTGGACTAGCTTTCAGATGAAGCAATGAGAAATGGATGGGTCTGGCTACCTCTCCTGTGGGTAGCGGGGAGGCTTTGGGAAGAGATGAGCATCAACAACATAAAGGAGCCCGGCTCATTCAATACAGCTGGCGTTTGGGAAGGCCTGGTGCCCAGGCAGGACAGCATGTTCCTAACGTCATACTGATTTGTTTTATTTTCTATTGCAAAAGGCTTTCAGATAGAATCATGAGATGCCGGTGGGAGGCTTTCAAAGACCTTGGGCAGTCACGTGCTGCCAACCCATCCACGTGTGCCCTTCCATCTGTGCCGGGCTTTTGCTCCCAAATCTTTAGCCTCAAGCCAAGCAGGTGGGGCCTGCAAGGGGACTGCTCAGTGTAGTTCAGTTCTCTGTTGAATCTCCCAAGGAGTGTCTGAGTCTGGGGCTCAGTCACACTTACAGAGGTGTTTAGGAAGTGATATTTGAGCTTTTGCTAAACAAAGGAAGTCTTGGA